AGGCGGCTCTGGCGGGAAGTCCCCCTGCTTTGAACGGGACTCGGTCGCCCGCCTGCCTGCCCGGCCGCGCACTAAGCAGAGCTTTGCGCTCCTGTGCGCTCGCCGCGCCTCGCTTGCATCCGCGGGCACCGAGCGAGCCCCTGTCCCCGCCGCTGCGGGGCGGAGTAACCAAGGCGAAAACAGCCCGTCTGCCTGCGCTCAGCACGCGGCGGGGCTGGCTGCTTCTGGGATTCGGAGATCGTGTGGATCCGGTCGGAGCGGTAGTTTCTCCGTGGGAGCGGGAGAGGGAGGCTCGTAGTCCGGGGCAAGGGGGCGATGATTCGGTACAGGCAGCTTGTTCCGTGCGAACGCAGACAAGAAGGGGGGGGGGATCGCAGCTCCCCCCAGGAGAGTCCATCTCACACCGGGCCCAAAAATGAGATCTCATTCAGGCTTGGGGGGCGGGGAGCGAGCCGTGCACCGCAGGATCCGGATTTCAGTAGGGAGATCTGGGGGACGGGTAAATCCGCAGAGGTGTCTGATTCTCCCTTCCCGCCCCGCAGCCAGGTCCGGTGTGGAATCGGTTGTGATGCACTTCACGGTTGGCTTGACGTGACCCAGCCAGGCACACTGGAGACAACTGCATGGGGGTCTGTGAATCTAGCCATGTAGTTAGTTTACCCTTGAAAGACTCTGAGACTGAGAACATGGATGGGATTGTATTTTGGTCTCCGTAGTTACCAACTGACCTTGCTTGGGTTGGGAGGCTAAGCAGCGTTGGGCCTGGTTAGTACAGAATTTGGCTGGAGGAGCGCAAGAGAATCCTGTGGCTGGGTGCTGGACGGAGAAGGAAACTCTAGGAAGATACCCGCGGCACTGGGGTCAAGGAGGCTTTGCTTGCTTGGGTAACCAGAAGCCGTAGGAATGTTGTGTGAACCCAGGCTTTGGTTGCTGATAGGCTTGGCAAAGTGCAGTCAGATTTGTTCCCAAGGCGTTGCACCTAGATTCGTGCCTAGGTTTTTTATGTTAAATATATGCACCTTCCTGCCGTCTGGGCCGGAATCAATTACTGTAGGCAAGAATCCCCAAGAATTCAGGAAACACTGATTTTTTGCTGAAAAAAGTGATGAAGCCATAATGAAAGAATCCGAGGGGCTGCTGGGTTTCAAGAGCCCTTTCTGAGTAGGCAAACAGCACATGAACGCTTCAGTCCCTCTTTCATGTTTCTGATCTAAGTAATCGGATACCTGTCCCTCGCTTTTGCCCAGGAAAGCTGGTTTCCATCTGCCCCTTGTTTTTGCTATCCTGCTTTTTTACTGATGTAAGAACGAATTCTCAGAAACCAGACCGTTATGGCTTATTTACTAACCCATGGTTAAGAAAACCCATGGTTGATTTTTTGTGTTGTGTCAACACATTCTGCAAGCTGATTGCACAGAAGACGGGACACTCTGGACACCGTATAATGCTATAAACTATTTTAGTTTGTAGTTTATTTAGATGCATAAATATTTATCTACATATAAGGGGAGGGACAAATAGTGAAAGGTGCAGCTTTTGTAATGCATTGTGATGTGCACATGCAAGTATGCAAGAGGCAGAGCTTGTATCGTAATGGCACAATGCACATTTTGTCATTTTGACAAAACCTGATTACTGCAGATGCCCGTGTCCGTATACATTAATCACACACAGAAGCAGCATGGAGCAGTGCTCCTCCAGCTAAAGAAAGACATTCCTGATGCTTCTGTTCAATGCATCATTTATTGCAGCTGTATCTATAGCATCCGGAGTCAGTACATAGCATATACCTTCTAGGAGGTTGGGTGTGGGCATAGTTTGTGGGCTTGCAAGCTGGTATCTAAGTTTGCATAGAATAGCATGAAAATGCTTGAGGATAAAAGAGGGTTTGGCTGTCCTGGTGGCATACTGGCCAAAACTATGTGGTGCTGTCCTTGCTCTTAGCAGACAATCTGCATGTGCTATGAAAGAGTAGTCTAGTTTTAATGGTGCAAGCACAGGCAGACCTGGAGAATTATGGCCTGGGCTCCTGACTCCATGAGGAAGTCCCTTGGTCCTCCACCCATAGTCCTACCTCAACAGCCATACCCCAAAGCATTGTTTTTCAAACTTGGCAACTTTTAAGATGTGCGGACATGGACTCCACAAATTCCCCCGCCAGAAATGTGGGAGTTGAAGTCCGCGCATCTTAAAGTTGCCTAGTTTGAAAAACACTGCCCTAAAGAGACCCTGTTGGACCCACCACCACATGACCCCCACCACCATTCCAGCACAAAGGCCCCTCTGTACTGGTTTTAAATCATGAGGAATTGGGTGGAGAAGATAATCTCTGACTACTATTTCTCAGATTAGTATGATAGGGTGTGTTCTAATGCTAAAGATCTCTCAGAATGAGCGGGCTGATTCAGTAAGGAAGGTTTAGACTTTTATGAAGCGTATTAAGGCCAAAGAACTAAAAGAGGGTTGAAGACAATGGAGAAAGGAAAAAGAACTTAGCATGACTCCTGCAAACTTTAAATTACCTGCTACAGATTCTCTAAATGCTGAGGGGTGGAGGCCAAATGCACTTTCTGCCCCAAAGGGGAACACAACATAAGAGTCAGCTTGGCTATAAACATGGTAATCGACACTGGCTGGCTTCATACAGTGCCCTAGCTTTGCCTATGGCTTAGGCAAAATTAAAAACACAGCAAGCTGGTTTATCGTCACTTTAGGTCCTGTTTTGCCAAACAAGGCCCAGTTGGCTAGGTCCACCTATCTGCCTAGGTCAAAACTAAACAAATCGCACGTCTTAAAGTTGCCAAGGTTGAGAAACAACTGCTGTAGAGTATCAAGGACAGCAGGAATTCTGCAGCTGTAAATTGGGTTTCTTGTCATGCAACAAGCCATGTGGAAGGCAGAGTGAACAAAACTAGTCATTTAATGGAGAAGCAGCTGGTAAAGTTAAGCAAGAGGAATATTTTAAATAACTAAATAGCAGGGGTCCCCCTATAAAGCAGGGCTGTAGAGGAAGAAAGCCAGCTTGGTGTAGTGGTTAAGGCCCCAGGCTAGAAACCAGGAGACTGTGAGTTCTATTCCCACCTTAGGCACGAAGCCAGCTGGGTGATCTTGGACCAGTCACTCTCTCTCAGCTCTAGGAAGGAAGCAAGGGCAAACCACCTCTGAAAATGAAAACTGCAGGCAGTCGCCAGGAGTCAAAAACTGACTCGAAGGTTGGGTTGTTGTTTTTTGGTAGTGGAAGACACATTCAGTGGACTCCTGCATGTAGAACAGGCCTCTGAAGACAAGCAAGTACTATCAACTTCCCACTGATTAGCTCCCAGCCCTTTTCACAACTTTGGTCTTATCATGGGTACAGTGATTAAAAATTCCTTCCACGGAGATTATGTACTTCTTTGGTAGTAACTCCATCTTGGTTTTTGCGTTACTCTCAATCTCCGATCACCACGAGCTTGGTTTAGACCTTGATGTCTCTGGCTTCTTCCCACCTAGAGCGTGGCTCTGTTCCAGTTACTCAGGTGCCCAGGGTCGGCAGAATTCTTGATACATCTCCAAAACATGACTGACTCTTTAAACTACCTTGATCGGACAAGATGTAAGAGTTTTGGCATTCATGATTACCCTGGATAGCTATGATCAAGCCTATTTTTGGCTGAGGATTCTTAACCAAAGACTCTTTTCTGGATGTATCTTGAACAAAATTATTGGTACAGGTAGATAGATGATCTTGTAATTTAAGGAAGAGAGATTATTATTACTAGCACAGTTCTGTAAGAATTATGCGATTTGCAAATGTGTGGAGGTTTTGCTGTTTTCTGGAGATACAAATGAATCATTGGATGAAGACCCCTTAAATTGATACGGTTGTATACTGTTAAGGTTGAATACTGGTTAAAACATGAAATCAAACTCCTGATCCACCATGAAACATAATGGACAACCAGTAAATCACAGTATGGTCTGTTTCTTGTGGGGGGGGGGAGTAATGACATTATTTAAGACTGGGAAAGGGGGTAATTGGGTCATGCAGTTTCAGAACCACTGGTTTGGCACATCCCTGGTGTCAGAATTATAAGAATGCAAAAACACCAGTAAAGAGAGTTAGCAAAGGCAGTTTGGTGTAGTGGTGAAGGCACCAGGCTAGAAACCGGGGGACTATAAGTTCCAGTCCTGCCTGAGGCACGAAGCCAGCTGGGTGACCTTGGGCCAGCCACTCCCTCTCAGCCCTAGGAAGGAGGAGGCCATGGCCAACCACTTCTGAAAAACCGTGCCAAGAAAACTACGCCAAGAAAACTGCAGAGACTTGTCCAGGCAGTCTCCAAGAATCTGACATGATGGAACAGTTTTAAAAAAAAAAGTGTTACTCCAACAATGGTCTGTTCTCAGACTTTAATATTCCAGCCTCTTCACCCACCACTGTCCACCAGGGAGTAGGGACTCTTAAAGAACTTTTCCACTGTCTCTCTCTTTCCTGGCTCTGAATCTTCAGGCATCTGTATTTTTAGGAACTAATTAGGATTTCAGTCTCTAAATCCATTCAGCTGTTGTAGCCCTGATGCTGATGAGGTCAAGCTTGACGTGTCCACCACCTCCCACTTGGGATCCCCAGCTGAGAGGTTCCTGCCACTCTGTTTTGGTTGTTAAAGTGGTAAATGCAGCTTGCTTTTTTTTTCTTTTTTAAATGAGGGATGCAACCAAGTCAATGAGCTCCTGGCTTATGTCCCTGATCTGTTGGAATGATCTCTTAGGAAGCGGAATGGAAAAAACAAGCTTTGCAAATTTATGCTGCTCTAGGAAACTGGGAGCAAGAGTTTTAGGTTTCACCTCGTTTTTAAGTGGAAGCCTAAAATTAAAACATAATTTGCCAAGGGAATCATGACCTGAAATTTTAATTGAAATCTTTCAGGTCACCTACAGTGGTTACCTGTGGTATGTCACGTGCTACCTTAAATCTGC